CCCCCCTCCCTCCAAAAAAGAAAAGAAGAAAAAAGGAGATATCCGGACGAGACTGAGTCATTGTTCAGAAACTTGTTAGAGGCTTATTGCATTCTAGTCTGGTAAATGGGGGCACAGTTTATTTAAATAAACAGGCCTCTGGAGGACTACAGCAACAGATAGATCGCTTCATGTCTGCTCGCTCTGGCCAGACCTTTCTGCTCCTCGGGCATAATTTAATTTATTTTTTTAAGGGTACGAGGTCGGTAGATGTCGAAGCAGCCAACGACTGCTTAGTTTGTCTCACCCAACCGAGCGCCGACAGATTCATACAGGTCAAAAGGTTTAAAAGTTCACAAGACTGACATTCATGAAGGAGATTCCCCCATGTGTAAATATAAAAGGGGGTTGATAGACAAGAACCAGTCAGGGAAAGACTTTTCACACTGGTGATTTCCCAACTGAAATATTTATGAATATGCCATCAGATAGACCTAGGGAAGTGCTACCGTCTTCACCCGAATAGAACACAGTCTTTATCGCTATATCTATAGACAAAGTTGGCTCAAATACAACTATAATGACCGTGCGGCACCTATTCAAGTCCGGGGACGAAGGTAGTTCAAGTGTATGTCCTAATTGCAGTGAGGGCATTGGAAGGTTACAAAAGTTGCAAAAAAAAATTAAAAAAAATGCAAATTGCATTACCCACCAGAACATCATCGAGCCCTAAGGGCGTCAGCCCCTTCCTTAAAAACCACGTTTTCTTGACCTGAACTTCACATGACAGAGACGGAAGGAAAAAAAACGATAAACACAGAACAACGATCAGCAAGAGGCGCAGAACGTACCCGCCAAGAACCAAAAAGCATGCTGAATATAATTTAAGAAACAAAACATAAAAGCATGCTTAATGCCTATGAGGCACAGGATACCAGGCAGCACAAACTTAAGTGTTCTTCATTCCACTATATATACGTTCATCAGAACCATCTGAGAGCAATATGCCCCTCTGGACCCATCCGTTGTAATTGGATCGAGATCAGGATGCGAATGGTGATGGGAACAGGATCAGGATCGTAGGCTTGCTTCAACTTATCAACCACCGAAGGGCAGCAACAAGACTTGTGACTAGGACCAGGATCATGACAGGGACTGTGGTTGGTTGGATCATCATTTGAACCAGGAACCAGATCAAGGACCAGAAAGGAATCGGAACAGGACATGGATCAGGGATAGGATTAGAAAAAGGATCAGGACTTCAACCACAAACCGGATTGCAAACCAGATGGATCAGGAATTGGGTACCCTTTTTGTTGGGAAACGGGGGGGGGGGRGAAGGGGGGCAAGGGGGGCAAGGGGGGAGTGAAGAAAGCAAAACCTAGAACCGCCATGAATGTCTTTTTTAATGAATTAATTAAAGGAAGCTTTCGGCCCTCTCACTGCATCAAAAAATCCTTTGTTTTTCCACCTCAATATAACAATTTAATTATAATATTTTGAATTTTAAACTTACTACTTAACTAAAGGGAACCTTTTGGCCCCATCCCGTAGTCAATCCTCTTTCTTTCGCAATGATAATAATGACAATAATTTCCATACCAAAGCACAGCTTCCCTTCATTTATTAATTAACTAACGTGTTCCTTTTTCTTTTTTTTTTTCCTTTTCCGCCTCAATAATAATGCTAATTTAGTACTGCCCGTATCAACGACACCCAAAAAATGGTCTTTTGTGGATGACAACGTAGCCCCAATCGAGCCAGCAATTAACAACGATTAAGAAGTTCAACAAAATTTGAAAATTTTGAAGAACCAATAACAGGGTAAATTTTCCCATTTCCGATCGCAAGGCGTTTTTATTTCGTTGGCAATGACTGACCGACAGCAGATCTGCATCTGCGGTGCGGCCTACGTCATCACTCAATCATAGTTTCAAAATGAGCGGAGAGACTACACTTGATCTTAGCGATCAGTTATTCAAAAAAAAAACAATGAGCGGAGAGTACTGACACAACGCTGTATTCGAATACAACTGGCCCATGTCCAGTTCTCGACAAAATCTTGGGCGTCAGAACCTACCGCAGCTTTCTCAAGTGCGTGCAAAATTACAAGTGCAGATGGAAAGAATAAAACAGCATCCTCGCACTTGGCCTTTTCCAAATGAATTTGGACGTCATTACGGTCCGATAAGTTCAGCAGGAAAAACCTGGTACGAGTATGCCCTAACACCACCGACACATAGTGGAGGAGCCATTGGAAGGACAAAGAAGGGGTTAACAAGGAAGACAGTGGGGAGAAAAGAAGCAATTCAATCGTTAGGAACAACAAGGGGGACACCGGTCGAAGGGGGGGGGGGGGGGGGGGGAGGAGAAAGAGGGGGGAGGTGGGTGGGGCGAAAAGAAAAGAAGGAAAAACAAAAAAGAACAAAGAGAGAGGCAAACGGAGGGAACAGAAGGACACAAAGGGATGGAGAGGGAGGAGGGAGGGGGAGGAGGAAGACGGTGGAGGAAGACGATTTGAGAGAAAACATGAAGGAAAAGCAAAAGGGAGATGGCTGAAGGAACGAGCAGGAGCAAGAACGGGGAGCAGAAGGACAGGGAATGAAGGAGAAACAACGAGGAGGGAGGAAGAGGACGAAGGAGGTGGAGGAGAAGCAGGAGGATGGGGAAGAAGGAGAACCGTGACTGCGGACAGCAAAAGCTCTGGACTTGTCGTGAAGACCAACCTCGTTAGGACTGATGACGGAAGATAGAGATGGCTCTATGGAGGAGAAAAGAGGAGGGAGGAAGAGGACGAAAGAAGGGGAAGGAAGAGACGCAGGAAGAGGGGGAAGAAGGAGAAGGAGAAACTGCAATTTCCGTGCCTGTGTGAACAGCAAAGCTCTGGATTTGACATGATTGTCAACCCCAACACACCAACCTCTTCAGCGTTGATTACCACAAGACCGAGATGCCGCGCCCCCCGGATGATGAGAGCCATCCAAAATTCCATCCTTTCTTTCCAACCCTCATCAGTCCGTGATCCGAATGCTTTGAACCTCGCATTGCTGATGACGTCATCATCCCAACCCGGCACCTCCTTGTTCAGAAACGCAGACAGGGGAGAATAACTCGCAGCCATCGTCGCTAAATCTGCAGCATTCCAATCAATCAAGCCATCACTTAGCGGTTAAACTTCTCGATCCATCAATCATAGCATGCAGACATACCCCTCCCTCCCCCACCCTCCCTCCATCCATCCCTCCCTCCCTCCATCCCTCCATCCATCCATCCCTCCATCCATCCATCCATCCATCATCACTCACAGGAAACAATCAGCACATCGCACACTTGAAAGTCGTCTACGGTCAGGTTCTTTTTTATTCACAAAAAAAGAAATCGACCTTCTTGAACACCGAATCAAATCATTTAAGTTCATCAACCACGTACTGAGTCAATCAATTCAATACATCGATTAGTTAATAAACGATGTATTGAATTTGATAGACTCAGTACGTGTAACAAACCAATCAAGGATTTAATCAAACACTTGATCAAGTGATTGCTCAAACAACGACGAATCAATTGCTTAGTCAATTTCCGATCACTCAATCAATCAATCTAGCAGTTTAATCAACCATCAAATCAATCGACCAAAGCACAGCCCCTCGTGAGACCAGGAAGTGCCGCATATAGTGAAATAAGCTCAGAGATTACTCGTCGGACACGGAACTGAGTTTACCACTTCCATCATCGGCGAACAACCGAATCAATGCAACCTCGACCTTCCACCATTACTGATGATGGGGTAAGACTACGGAACAAAAAAGGGAGAACCAGTCGCGGAATAACCAGTCTACAAGAGGGAAAACCAGTCGGAATAACCAGAGTCAACCACCCCACAACCCCCTCAGACCGGATTCAGGCGAATCCTTGCAGACCGGGAAAACAGAGGGAAAAAAAGAGGGGACCCTGGGCTACCAACCGGGGCGGCCGGGTCATATTGGCTGACTGGCCGGGCGGCGCGGCCGGGCAAGGATCGGGAATACCTGGGCCCGTCGGATCGTCAATCACGCGGGCCAGCTGAGCAAACCCTGATCATGAATGTATATAACGCTAGTTCCAGTTCTATACAGTCATGAGGTTGCATTGTGTTCGAGGGAAGACGGTACTACTACCGTGGGGAAGACGAAAGAGAGGTAATAGAGGTTTAATTAATTAATGAATGAGTGTCTTGATAAATCGACCAATCCACCAGACAACCAATCAAGGAATTACCCAATCAGAAAAATCAAGCACCTGATCAATCACTACGTCAGCCACTCAGTCGAACCATATGAATGGTTCAACAAACCAATCACTCAACCGGGTGATTAACTAATCAATCACGCAATCAATCAATTAATTTAGCCAATCACCCAACCGGGCGATCAATCAATCAATCAATCAATCATACGGGTTCTAATTAAATTATCTAATCACCCATCTAAAAACTACGACAGATGACTCAACCGGGCGATCATTACTCAATCAATTAATCATCCAATCACTAGGCGGGCCGATCAACCAGTTCATCAATCAATCAATCAGTCAATCATACGGGTTCCTCTTAATTCGTCAAATCACCCATCAGATCACTACGAGCAAATGACTAATTACGCATCCTTTTCGGGGGGGGGAGGGGGGGGAGGGGGGGTAGGAGCCTTCGATCATCTTTTCTTCTTTTACCTACTAGTATCAGCCACCTAATAACAATCACTTAATCAATCAATCACATTTTTTAATCTTTACTCGACGAGTTTACCAAACAACCAATCAGTCAACCGACCAATCAGGAAATCAATAATACCATCAATGACTTACTCGACCAACGCATCCGCTACCGCAACATTAATTTCACCGACTTATTAATTTACCAACCGAGCAATCAACCAACCAATCAACCAACCAATCAACCAACCAATCAACCAACCAATCAACTAACCAATCAACCAACCAATCAAAAGACCAATCATCCAACCAAGCAACTACCAATCATGCGACAAATCAATCAGTCAACCAGTCAACCGACCAATCAATCAATCAATCAATCAATCGACTTGGAGTCCAGCTATCACAAAAACTTCGCTTTCTTCATAGGGAGGAGGGGGGGGGGGAAGCACTTTCACGAGTGCAAATATCAACATCACTAGATTATACCTGTTGCGGCTCCGCCCGCAAAACCGACAGAATTTTTGCGAACGAGAGCAAAGAGCATGAGGGGTGTGGTGCGCTGGCGGCAATTGGATAGCCACTGACCTATTTTCTGTCAAATATAATTTCACAGTTACGACTTTGTCAGCACCACTTTCCCTCGGTGAGTATAAAGCTTTCTTTTTGGAGCTCAAGAGATGCGCAGTTCTTTGCATGCGAGGGGTTCCTTCTTCCACTCTGTTCTTTTTCTTGGGTTTAATGATGACAGCAAGCCAGTCAAAAACACCTCTGTGGGTGTGGGTGTGGGTGTGGGTGTCGGTGTGGGTGTCGGTGTGGGTGTGGGTGCGGGTGTTGGTGTGTGTGCGTGTTGTGTGTTGCCATATCCCTTCCACACACCTCCACAGAAAAAGCACGACTGTGCCAGGCTGTTTTGGCGAACTTTCACCGACTCTTTCGACGAACTTTCACCGACTGGTTGTGCGTGTGTGCGTGTGTGCGCGTGTGTGCGTGTTGCCATACCAGCTATACACAACTCCACAGAAAGTTTGTGTATAACTTAGCCAGACTGTTTCGTCGTATTTCTCAGCGACTCATCAGGAGGTTGAACCTGGACAGACAGTTTGCCCAGGATGCATTTGATTCATGGATAAGGACTTGCCACATCAACAGGAGATCACGACACCCCTGAGAAAAGTGGTCGACTCACACCAACCCTCTGTGTGTGTGTGTGTAAGTGTCAGTTAGGTGGACCAAGAGTGATTGAAAGTCGCTCGGAGTTAGTTGTAGAAAGATGACTTCACTTACAAAAGTGCCATTGTTGTTAAGCACGTCCTGTAACGTATAAATGGAGTATTCAACATCCAATCTGACTGGCATTCGCGGTTTGCTACAAAACATGCGAGCAGCCGTAACGCTGGGCATGCATCTTGAAGCATTTCGTGCAAGACAATACGCAAAGAGAAACGGAGAACAGCATCGCAAACAATCTCTCTCTCTCTCTCTCTCTCTCTCTCTCTCTCTCTCTCTCTCTCTCTCTCTCTCTCTCTCTCTCTCTCTCTGTGTGTCTCTGTGTCTGTGTGTGTGTGTGTGTGCCTGCGTAAAGAAAAATTCACGATCCAAATCAAATTAAGTGACACAATTTGGGGTGGGCACAAACACACCCCACTGCGTGGACCTCCTCTCCGACTGTGCCCACGCTCCTCCGCGACTGTGCCCACGCTCCTCCTCGACTGTGTCCACCCTCCTCCCCCACTGTGCTCACCCTCCTCCCCCACTGTGCTCACCCTCTTCCCCCACTGTGCTCACCCTCCTCCCCCACTGCGCCCGCCCTCCTCCCCCACTGCGCCCATCCTTTATACACATCTAGATGTGTATAAGAGACAGGTGTTCTTCATTCCACTATATATACGTTCATCAGAACCATCTGAGAGCCTGTCTCTTATACACATCTAGATGCATGCACACGCACACACACAGAGGAATTACTTTATTTGGATCCTTGTCCCCACCACTAAGTTACCCTCTCAGCTATATGTAAGCTGCCGTAACTGGAGGATTTAAAGCTTGACATACAGACTTTGGGTTATCTCATCATGCATTTTGGGACATGGCTCGGGCTTGTTTATATTGCCTGGATTTCTCTTCCATATGTATCTGCATCCCCAGCAACAAAACTGACCTTCAGCAGTTGCATCACAACATATTTCCCTTGTGCAGTCTCCTGATCAGGAGGTGATGAGAGGATGTGCTTTCCGGCCCACGAGACCAACATTGTCATCCGCATCAGCGACCACGTAAACCATGATGCGCTCACTCTCCGGTACAACTCCTCGGGCCTCTGGAGGTGCCCCACTCTTTCCATCTCCAGCTGCATTACCACAATTTGAGAGGAACAAGAAGGGAAAAAAAAACATGCATGAGACCACACACTCCATGCTCCAACACCTTCATTAATCTCCAAGCATCATTGCACTCCCTAGACAAGTGAAGGAAAAACTGTGCGCACCACTGCAGCATCACAACATGGCAGTACCTCCCCCTGTCTTCAGCAACGCCACATGCACAACAGCGGACAGAAAAACAAGAACAAGCGTGCAACACCACCTGCTCACACAACCACTGCCCCTACACCCTTCCCGATATCTGCCTGAGTGCAAACGAGTGCACCTCGATTCATAAGGCAGGTGACTATGCAAACTTCAAGGCTACCTTCCTCCCCCGAATACAATATACAATCATTATAGCTGTGTATTTGGGGTATCTTTCAGTCTAAATACAGCTATATATAATGACCGTACCTTGTATCCGGGTGACCAACAGATGATGGATAAGCTGCCCTGAAGAGAACACAGGGGAACAAGTGGCGCCCGTATTCAACATAACACTTGTTTTTCATGGACACACATAACACCCGTGCATTGAACTGCATTCCATTGCGACGAAGCCGCTCGCCAACCAATTCCGTATACCTTCTTTTTTGTTTTTTCACATAGAAGGGCGGGCCCAGCAGTGTTGCAAGTGGCATTGCAATGCCCACACCCACTGCAAAAGCTGGGATCAAGCCACTTGAACTCAGCTTGAAACTCAGCTTTCGCAGTGGATGTGGGCCCCTCTTCCAAAAGCTGAAAATCGGCAAAAGCTGAGGTCAAGCCACTTGACCTAAGCTTGATAATTTTGAATTTTCAGTTCTATTGAGGGGAGGGAGGAGATAGCAACCTCTTCCCAAAGCTGTTCAGGAGGGCCTAAAGCAGCACGATCCATCAATGGCACTCGACTTGAGTGTTTGCCGCTGCCAATCGCTAGGAGATGAAATCTGTTCATTATAGCCCATAAAACTCACATACAGAGAAGCAACTCCACACGTACGGGTTGCTCCTCAATTCTCATATTCTCATTTGATGGGCAGTTATAGTTCAACCCAGCCACCCACCGAATGAGAATGTGGAAGCAGCTTCATCAATGCAAGATAGATACATCATGGACTGCGAGCACAATAGCAGGGTTTTGGCAGTTTGTATATTATATTAAATCATGCTGAAAAGGATCGGTTCCTCTTCTTGTATCAAATTCAGATGTAATATAAATAAATGTCATCATACGAGACATAGATGAACTCAATAACCAACTCAAACCAAAAAAAAAATCAAAAAAGGATGGACAGAAGCTCAGAAAACCGAAACAAAAAAAAACAAAACAAAGAGAAAGAAACCGATCAACTGGCCCAGCTCAGTTGGTGCACCCTGAACTGTTGAGAGACAGACCTGAGTGCGAAGCAGATAATAAAAGACAAACAAACCAGCAGACTAGTCTCCAACCACAGTTAAAAAATAGCAAGGACCAGCAGATTACATATATGTAACCACTGACTGGCAATAGATCTGTACGTTACCGGCAATTGCTTCTTTCTTTTCATTAAAAAAAAAAAAAAAAGGGCGATGACCTTGAGACATCATTGTCGAACTGATCGACCCCAGATAATTCAGAATTTCCTTCATTTAGTTCTAATTGGACTCGAACTCAGGTCTGTTTTTTTTTTGTTTTTTTTTTTGTTTTTTTTTTGGTAAGTAGGCTATTTTCTTCGCTCAACTCCACCTTTCACTATCTACTTACTGCTACTCCTAAGCCTATACAGGGGACCCCTGCAAGCATCATTGCTACCTCTCACAATTAGCCGGATGCATGTTGCCCCCCGCCTTAATCTGCGGTGGTCAGGGAGTAGGCTGGGGCCGCCAGTGGGAGGGACCGGCTAACACAAAGACCGAGCATTTTGCCAGTAGCTGCGCCTCCCATCTACTTCCCACCCCCCCCATCGAGTAGCAGCAGTGCCTATGGCCAACACTCTCACCGGCAGTTACAATTTTTAAATGACAACAAAGACAATAACAGTTACTGTTCTCATTGACTATCGGTGTGAACTCTACGACAGGTCGAGAGCTCCAATCCTGATCTCTTTTTCGAAGGGGAAAAAAACAAAAAACAAAAAAAAAACAGGAAGGGTTGATACTACTTCTTATCACCCCCTTGTGGTATGACCCATCATCCAGAGTTTGAAGGCTCCAGCACAGACAATAACAATAACATTATGGGAAACATCATTTTGAAATCAGATATCCGGACCAGAGTGCATCATTGTTTCAAAAACCTTTAAGAGACTTGTCGCATTCTGGTCTGGTAAGGTCATAAGGTTTAGAAATGCAAGACTTTCAAAAAGAGATTTCTGCTCCCCCATCTCCCCCCCCCCCCNCTCTCTCTCTCTCTCTCTCTCTCTCTCTCTCTCTCTCTCTCTCTCTCTCTCTCTCTCTCACACACACACACACACACACACACACACACCACACAATAACAAAGCAAAGATAATCCGCCTTCCTCCATCGTGGCGCGGTCGTCCCAAAGTTTCGACGCCATGCACAGCTCAAGCCTCAGCGTCCAACCTTCAGGATACTGAGCCCAACCTCCAGCAAGTACAAGAGCTTAGCAACAATAACCCCTCACTAACATCGCCCCAAATTGCAGTGTGTCTATGATGACTGTGTGTGCTTCTGAGTGAGTGAGTGTGTGAGTGTGTAAGAGTATGTGTGTGCGAGTGTGTGAGTGTGTGAGTGTGTGAGTGTGTGAGTGTGTGAGTGGGTGTGAGTGTGTGAGTGTGTGTGTGTGAGTGTGTGAGTGTGTGAGTGTGTGAGTGTGTGAGTGTCTGCGCGTGTTCGTGTGTGTTCGTATGTGCGTTCTGGGCGGGTGTGTATGCGTGTGTGTTGTCATGTTCGCTATATACAACTCGGAGAAAAAGCAAGACTAAGCCAGACTGTTTCGTCGGACTTCCACCGACTCATCAAGAGGTGGAGCCCCGACAGTTTGCCCAGGATGCATTTGACTCATGGATAAGGACTCACCGCGTCGTGTGCGTACGTGTGAGCTACCCCAAAACTCACCCAGGGTGAATAGTGATGCGGCTGGCGACGCAGCTCGCCATGGGCAGGCAGGAAGACACACACACAAAGAAAGAAAGAAAGAAAGATAGAAAGAAAGAAAGAAAGAAAGAAAGAGAAAGAAGGAAAGAAAGAGAAAGAAAGAGAGACAGACGCAGAAGGTAAAGCCAAGTGCAAGAGCTTGCGGACCAGAAGAGAGTTCAGCGGGAGAGGCATGTACTGACACTAGAATGGCGTGAAATCACTTCCGCTGCGGTCTGAGTTGTGGTCTTCTGCGTGTTCGGGATGTCACCACCAGCACTCGATCCATCGACGTTGACGTCTTTGTTGAGCTGCGGAGCTCATGGCTATGGCGGACGCGGCAATGGCAACAACAACGACGGCGATGGCGATGGCGACCACGGCTATGGCGAGGGCAGCTATGGCTGCGAAGGCGACAGAGACAGCCACTGTGCCACAGATAGCCACAGCTATTACGGCGACGACCGAAGGCAATGAAGACGATAGCTGGCTATGGCGGACAAGATCAAAGAGACGAAGGAGATAATAGACGCCGAACACCGCAACGTCCGACAATCCTAACCCTGCGGGCGCCAACTCCTCCCCCCGTCCTCCTCCTGCTCCCCTCTCCACTCGATTGGCCAGAGCCAAATCACTGCCGCTCACAATCCGCCGCTCCCAGTCCGGATCGCGCTGCCCGGGATTTTCCATTCCACCCGCCTACATCAATCAATTTTGTCGTCAGCTTAACCTTCCATCCAGCAGTCTCACGGCGGACTCCCTGATGCTCACAAATGCCATTCTACGATTCGCACAGAGATCCGCAATCGTGGAAAAGCGCGGGGTCGTTCAGATCAAATGATCGCGGCAGCGGGAAGCAAGCGGCTGGGCGCCAAATTCGGTGGTTAAGCCGCGCTCGAGCACACATAAGAGCGCGGGAAGAAGAAGGAAATCTTTCGCGCGCGTTCTCCGAAGAACGGTCTTCATTTCTCCCCTACCTGCTGTACGCGCGCCTGGGGCTAGGTCCCACTTACACGAATTAAGAGATATTGACCGTAGATCGCAAAGATCAACGGTCAGAATCTCGTAATGCGTGCAAGTGGGACCTTGACACTGGTCTTCTTTTTTTTTTTCATTTTTTAAACGCGCCTGGTCTTCATTTCTGGCCTTGGATGTAACTTGCTCGGTTCTTGCGCTCTCTCCCGCTACTCTACTCCCTGGCCAGGTCCCACTACCGGTAGCAGAGACGATTGAACTAAGCGCCCGAATCCGGACGTGTTGGGACTACAGATGCAGAAGAGCCGATCAGTTGCGAATTCCTGGACCTCTCCTCAAAGACGTCCAAGTTCCACGCGTCATCCCCCTTTACCACTGGGACCTCGCCCACTACAAACCATACGGAAACCACCCAGAAGTCAAAAATGGCGGGTGCATTTCAAATAGATTGCGTCATGATACAGCCGAGGAGACGCGAGAGCGAGCGGGATCATTGGTGAGTGTGAAAGCGGCTAGTGGGCGGATACGCCACCTATATGAGACCAATGGGAATCGACGAGCGAACGAGGGAAAAAGCGGGGAAACAACGGATACGCCACCTATTTGAGACCTTGGGGAAAAAGCGGGGAAACAACGGGCCATGGGCGGCCTCATGTTCAATTGGGCAAACCCGGCGTGGGACCTCGACCCAGAGGCACTACAGATGTTGTTGTGTTGGTGGTGGCATAGGGCGACGAATTTCAAGCGTTCTTTATGGCTGAATCGGACGACCGCCGTGTCAGCCTGCCTGAATGGTGGAAGGTTCCGCCTTTGATTCCGGAACTTTTGATTGGCCGGCGGTGTGGGGGTGGGGTGGGAGCAGGGAGTGTGGAGCAAGAAATGACTGTGTACCGCACCGCGCAGCCTGGAGGGAGCGAGGACAGAACGCGGCGGGCCTGTTGTGGAACTGATGTGCTGTACCGCGGCATGGTATGGTGCAGTTAGAGCACGCAGGCGGGGCATATTCATAGTCGTATGTAAGGTCCGGCCCGAGTTTTGTTAGGTTTGTTTTAGGGCGAAGGCATGATCGGTCGCCTGCAACTCTTTGTGTGTGTGTGTGTATGTGTGTGTGTGTGTGAGTGAGAGAGAGAGAGAGAGAGTGCTTCCTCTGT